GTCGTCGTCATCCTCCTCTTCCTCGTCGTCTTCATCATCTTCGTCGTTTACCGGCTCTTCGTGCCGGTCCTCCCAGCCGTGCTTGAACCTTCCCGACTACGGACCAACGAAAATCCTGCCGTTCCTATACCTTGGCTCGCAGCAAGACGCCATGGACCACGAACTGCTGAAGGTAAACTTTTTAGCTTCTACCTACCTCATCGCCCTCATTCCTAAATTCTTCTCTTTTCAGCTGCACGGCATTGACTACGTGCTGAACATGAGTGTCGCCAGCCCGAAGCCGAACTTCCTCGAAGAGGAACACTTCCTGCGCATCCCCGTCAATGACTCATACTCCGAGAAGCTACTGCCGTATTTCGAACAGGCGTTCTCCTTTCTCGGTACGTTGCTCTCCAAATTTTTTCTTTGCTTTGCTTCCGTTGCGTTATTTTATTGTATGCCTGTTTTTAGACAAGGTCAAGGAGTTGAACGCCAGTGTATTGGTCCACTGCCTGGCCGGCATTTCGCGCAGTCCGACACTGGCCATCGCCTATGTGATGCGGCACCTGCGCATGACCTCCGAAGAGGCGTACAGGTACATATCCGTATCAGATAACTTGACCAATCGTAGTCCTGATGCTCAAGTTCTTCATTGCGTTTCTTTCGTTGCGTGACTCATATATTTGCCTGACCTCTTCGTTGACATTTAACTTCTCTCGCACTGCTACTCGTTCTTTCTTTTCGTCTTGGTTTTATACAGTAGTCTTTTACACACCTGATAAAGCAGACGCTGGCATTATTGACTGACACTGATATGACGCATTTATAAACATGTAAGTTTTTTCGTCTGTAACTTTAACGACTTAATTTTTTCTCAACTTCGAATTTTTTACATATATATGCCAAGAACATCATCTGGCCTTCGTCGAGGCAGGAAGTTTCGTTGCCGAAAACCGTAGAATTTTGATATCTTATTCAGTCGTTCGACCAGACCACAGAAAGAAAATGAAAAGCGATTTCGAAGACCAAGGAAAAGTTGCTCTGGAGCTTCAGCTCTTCTTAGCTTTTCGATCTGAGCGCTGGTGAATACTGCGCCCAAGAAAACATCGTGCTTCTTGTTTTACATGGCTGATTAAGTTCCTTTTTCTCTGTTTCGCAGTACGATGAAACGATTGAAGCCATATCTTTGATTGCTGCAGGTTCGACAGAGATTTGACCGAATGGGCACCGGAGTCCAATCCAGCGCAATATTGTCCCCCGTCGACGGTGTAGAGGGCATTTCGTGCGAATGCACAACGTTTCATATCACGGAATTATCCTAACGTGATCCAAAAATCACCGGCCTTCCCTTTCACATGCTCTGCAGCAGTAGCTAGCCTGCAGGAGATTGGTACCACGCACGCCAGGATTGCATGACATGTCTGCAAACGCGGCTCTGAGACAGACGCTATCCGGCTGCGACCGTCCCAGCAAGACATCTTTTTCTTTGTTAGTTAGACGAGTGAGTGTTTGAAGCGCTAATAACGTCGCTGTATGCACTTTAGGGTGGCCTGCACAGGCGAAAATTTCTTCACTACAGACCGATTCGTACGTTGATTTGAGCCTGTGTTATCCCCATATAACTCTCTGTCCTTGGTACAGGGGAGACAGAAAGGTACCTTCGCTTCACCCCACTTGCGAATAGTTTACTAAAGGGGGTCCTTAGCGAGGCTATCCCTATGCCAGGGCGTGAGGTAAACTTTTGCAACACAGATTAACAGCAGTTCTCCAGGTTTTAGATCGCCTGGTTGAGAGTTTGGAAGTTAGTTCCCTTTTTCACTGCTGGCTACCCTGAGTGGCAGAGTCGTTTTTCGAGAGGCTGCAAAATTAAGCGAATTCGAATTAATCGACTATGGTGGACACAGTGATATGGTAATTATAGACCATTCCCCTTTCCGCCGCATGATTAATTAACTCGCAAATATTACATAATCCCTGACTCAAAATTGATCTAGATTCTGGTATCATTGTTTCCTCTGTCAGTACGGCTTTACTTCTTCGGAACCATATACCATGCAGCTACCACCGTACAAGTCCTCTAAGTCATACTGAAAGAAATATGGTGATCCATCCTACTAAAGCCACTCTGTTAGCTGTATCACTCCCCTCTCGCTACTCTGTACTAAAGGTTATGCATAATAGATGGTCATTTTTGCTAGATGAAACTGCCATGAACAACGGTTCTTAACCCCAGAATCGTATTTTCGAGCGGATAGCTCTTGACTCAATGCCATGTTAAGCAAGTCGCCAGCGGCTTCAGTGTTTTTCACGCCATCTTGTTTAATGATCAAGGAAAGCTTTCAATCGAACTCATTTGCATTCATGGGCCGATAAAACAGAGTACTTTTGCAGCCTTCAAATGTCCTCTTATGTTTACAGTATAACCTAGAAAGTTTGGAACAGTGTATGAAGAACATGTTGAATTTCTACTCGGTAAAAATCATCAAGTACCGTAGAGGTGCAACTTACGGAGTATAACACATACGATTATGCCGTGCATAGGAGTGTGCATTTTTCCTCTGTCTGTAGCTCGTTTATCTAATTCAAAAGTCGTTCTCTGATAGAAAATTAACGCAAAATGCCCCTTCATACGATGCATGGCCATAAATATTTTCTCCAAGCAAATCACTTATCGCATTTCTGGTCACGCTGGAAACGGAATTTTGTTTCTCGTAAGCTCTTCCTGTTTCTAGTGTCTTAAGAATGGCAAAAATTCTTTGCGAGACAGTATGGTTTGCTTATCAAATCATTGGGCCATTGGAGTCACAACGATTTTCTTCCTTATGGGCTATGTCTTCCTATAATCGAATGGCATTTCATGTTTCGATTTCGTGCCACCTTCCTAAGTGTGCTATAAAACAATCTACTGTCTGTCAAACTTATCATTCTGAAATCAATATTCTTGTTTAACTGAAGTTAATTTCTCGTAACGGAAGAATGACAAAGTACTAAAAACAGTTCTGCCGTCCTCATGTACTTATGAATATTTGAAATCATCTGATTGGTCCTGATCTGATCCTGGCTCTGCGTTCAGCCTACGTCGTCCCCGGGTTCGCGAACACCAGTTTGTTTTCGTGGGCCTTTTCACCGTTTGCCACCACGTTGTTTTTTCCCTTTAAATGCAGCAGGTTTCTCTGAACTTGATGACTGTTACTTATAGCATAGTTTATCGTTGTTTGAATAGGAGAATTCTTGTTGTTCTCCATCGTCATCTGTGCTGCGATAAGTTTTGCCGCTCTGTTTGCCGTGGATTGATCATACGCGTCAGATTTGTTACCGTCAGATGTACCTTATGCTATCAACTGTGCAAAAAGAAATAAAACAGAACGAAAGAAAAGCAACTTCTTCAGCCGGATCAAATTGAACGTTTGTTCAGGGCGAGATCAACCGTTTCTTCTTTCTTCCTCCTCGTTCTCCCACGTTTCTGAGATAGCGTGCTGGTTCCGGGATAAGTCAATGTCGATTTGCCTCAGTGCATCAGAACTCGCAAACATAGGCTTTCAGAAAGTGAGTCTGTGACAGACATTGTAAAGTGTTCGAATATAGAACGTGTCCATGGTATTGATATTAGCAGCTATGCGCATTCTGTCAGATGCTGATCGATCAACTCTGTCAAATATATACCACTCATTCTGAATGCAAGTTTCGATGATCGCCTTCATGACAGAAAGTCGTATCCAACAATGATTTGAAAAACGCTCCTCTACAGGGTATCCACATTCCAGCAATGTTAGCTGTCGAGCAGGGATTTACTGCGACCTTAATAAATGATACTCGTTAGTGAAACGTATCCTCTGCTGTCACGTTTTTACATATTGATGACCGGTACTAAAACATGATCTTTGATGACCTCGTTACCTGTACAATGAGCTGACCTCATGACGCTTCGTCGTCAGTCAGTCTTTGATTGTCATTGCCTTATTGGCCATTTCGACATTTTTAATAATTTATAATATGCGTTTTTGACCTTTTATAATGAAAAACGATTTCCCGTTTATTTCGAGACCAAAATATAGTATGATGAAAGCGAAACGTTGATAACTTACCGAAAAGAGAAAAAACGTTTGATTTATTGCATATTAAATTGGTTCATCACAGGATTTATGCTTCGTATATATTGATATGCCTGTTTCTGCTCTCGCATACGTCGTCGTTTACGGGTATCGTTTTCAACCACGTTTCTTGTTTTCGCTGATGCGGTGTTTCTTTCATGACCTGCTTTTTTCTCGTCAGCCGTTGCATTGGCATTTTTCTGAAGAACGTTCTTCGCTTAGATAATTAATTAGGCGTCACAGCTGGATGGATGCGTCTCGTTAGCGAGAACTCGTAGGTTTCTTACCATTCGTCCTGCCCTGAGCTGTCATGGTGCGGTCGTCAACGTCGTTTCGCTCCAAATAAAAGCGTGTCTTTTCTCTCGGCCCAATGACGAACGCGTGTCCTATGATCCCTCTCATGGCATATTTCCTTCTCGTTCCACTTGATACCAGCGAAAGACGATCTTTTTCATTGCAGGATTAAGACCGCAACGGACGCATATGAATTGTTTTAAAATGTCTGTCAAAAATGCCCTACGTTGTAATAGTTGGCTAACAAACAACAACTATGCTATGACATAGAACTGCAGCTGGAGGAGGGCCAGAATGTGTGAGATTTACACACAAGCTTTGATTAGCAGGTTGCTACTGTATATAAACCTATTGTGGTTTAAATGCTGCGTGCTCGAACAACCAGGGTTAATGGAAGTCCTTGTGGCAGCAAACTAGTTATGCCTAGGAGAGACGCGCAATCAGACTGTCGGGGGCTACTATGCCCATTAATCCAGAAGGAAGCACATGAAACATTTCTCGCCATTTATTCACCATCTGAAACGAGAGTAATGTTTTCTGTGCAAGTGGTATTTAAGAACTTAAAGATATTTCACGGAAAGACCAGAAAATGACCTCGTTTGTAACATCAGTGGTCAAAACCCGGGAAGTCTGGCCAAGCGGTTTCCTTGAACTCGTAGTCAATGTGCAAATCTCTCTGGACAGTAAATGATATTTGTCCCTATGCGGTGCGTAAAAGCCTGATTATGCTGCTGTGTCTGTACACGTTGTTAGAGTGAGTGATTAATCTGCGTTAATCGATGTACATGAAGAATCGGATAGAAACCTAGCAGATCTTTATATCGCTCTGGCAAAAGCCTATAGGGGACAGGACGTTGTTCGGCGGTCTTACGGATACCGTCCAGTAACCGGAGCATGTTATAGTTTAAGGAACGTTTTTGTGTTAACGAAATTCTAGAAGGGGCGAGGAATATTTCTTTTTTGCTTCTGCAAGCAACATATCCAGGGCTAATATACATATTTGGCCCTATGTTAAAGTAGTCATGGATTTTTGATTTCTACATTTCTACTACTCATTCACAACAGTGTTATTTGGCATTGGTCGAATGTTACTTAAATCCCATATGGTTCGAATGAACATGGATGGTCAGGGAATTCACCGCTTCATGAGTTCTGCGTGCATCTTTAAGAATAAGTACCAAGAGAGCGAACGTGAGTGTTCGATCGATTTCTTACCCATTAGTTTGTACTTTTAAATTTCTTTTATACAACTGTCTTAAAATGAATGAGGATGTTGAGTGCGATGCGAGGAAGCGAGGGGAGATAACGAAATAACGTGTTTCTATGCAGGCAGTGATATGGCCCGGATTAGCACGGCTTCATTACTCGCCTAAAGTTAAAAGAGTTTGTGAAACTTCGTTGCAGGAAGCAAGGTAGTTAACGTGTACAGTGCTGTACTTCGTTCTGACATGGCAGCATTTGCCTTGATCCTTATCCGTTTTCGTCACGAGACCGATCTTCCGCGAGGGACTTTTGCTTGACCTATCGATTTCACTCGTTGAAAAGTTGACCAACCCTTTGTTTGTCAGATCCAGTGCAGTAGATCTCCTTCGGTCCTTTTTTTGCATTGGCGGAGTTCAGAGTTGTTTGCTCCTTTTTTGACGACCGACCATCGCTTCGTCTTCGATTCACTTGCAACGTTCACCCTGTTCACCCTCAGTCTCTGCCGCTGCCGGCAGTTCGTTTTTAGTCTGTCGACAGACCAGCTGATCTTCGCATTCGGATTGACAGCGGCTTGAAAGTCTGACAGCCATTCCTTCGTTCGCTTTGCCTTTCACGTGAGTTCAGTGAAAGAATCATACGTGTTCTTCTTGGTCTTTGCGTTAAAGGAATAGTTAAACTCAAAGA